CCTAGATAAGTGACAATTGTCATAATCATTATTTTTAAAGTTTTTGACGCACATAGGTTCAATATAGATTGTAATCTATTTTCACCATATTTTATAAATTCCAAATCTTAACATTAAATTTATAGGATGTTGATTGTATCATATTGATAATAATATTCATATGGTTTCTACATTCTTTTTATAAAAATCTTACCTAGAATTCAGACTCGAATCCAGGAACATTATTCCCCGGAATAAAATCCCCGTTTTTTAAGATAATAAAAATTGCAAAATTAAATAGGAGAAAAATTTCCTTATAAATATCATGGAATAAAAATCCTCAAAATAATATATATCAAAATTTTGAGAAAATTAATTCCGAAGAATTATTTTCCGAAGAATTATTATTGAGGATTTTTTTCCGGGGAATTATTTTCCGCTTACCTTGAGCAAGATATCGCCGTGAGTATACAACAATTTTTGTTAACTGTGAATGCAGGGTCATGCATTTTAATAGATGTTGGATTAAAATTTATAAATTAAGGGAATAAGATTGTGAATCCCTAATATTTTGAAAGTTTAAAATTAATGAGTTACAACCCTTTTTAATAATCTCTTTGCATATTTTTTTATCAAATTTTAAGCAGGATAATAGACAACAATTATGAGCATGAAAATTGACATTTTTTTTATTTCGCCAAAAGGTACCAACATATTTCTTAGAAAAAATAATAGTTAAAGAACGATGATTGTAATAATGGGCACTTTCCGAATTATTTCAATACAAAATATCTTTCTTTGAATGATTTTTTCAAAAAAATATTGGAAAACTTTAAAAGTAACGATTATGACAATTGTCACTTTTCTATGATACATCTTCATGAAATTTTAATTTATCATGTTTTCAATCTATATTATAATCCATTTGCGTCAAAAAAATTCAAAAAACTATAAAAATAACGATTATGACAATTGTCACTTTTATATAGTGCATCTTAATTGAAATTTTAATTTAACATGTTAAAAATACATATTTTTGCCATTAGCATCAAAAAAAATTGAATATGTTTAAAAGTACCGATTATGATAATTGTCATTTTTCCAAAAAACATCTTCATTGAATTTATAACTTAACATTACAATATAAATTATATTTTTACCCTTTATATCAAAAAATTTCAAAAATCTTAAAAAAATATATGAAAATTGTCGCATAAAAATATTATCCTTAAAAAGATCATATAAAATAACATAAAAAAGTTTAATATAAATATTTTTAAAAAAATTATTCAGAAAAAACTATCTATTTATATATTTAAAAAGTGGTTAATTTTTCAAAAATGATAATAAAAAAAACATTATTAAAGATTTCACCTAAAAGATTGTTTATTTATTTATAATAAAATTCACAAAAAATTTCCTCAAAAAAGATTTATTTGCAAAGAAAGAAGATTTAAAATTCTTATCAAATCAAAATATGTTCAAAAATCTTTTTGAACTTCAAAATATATTTTTTGCTTAAAATTCTAACAAAAATAATATTACAATAGCAGCATATCATTTTTTTTATTTAAAAAATATCAAATAAATAAATCCATTTTCATAATTTAATAATATGAATAAAAAATATTAAATCATATCATGTTTATTTGTTGTTAATAATAAAATATATTATTAAAAAATATAAATAAAATATATTATTTTACTAAAAATAATAATAATTAATGCTAGGTATATTGATAATTTAGTTTTAGCCGATTTTTAGACTAAGCCTAATTAAGTTAGGCCGTTTTTTAGGCTAAGCCTAATTAGACCTAGGCGTAGTTTTTAGCCGATTACGTAACACTACTTTCGATCAATAAGAAAAGTTTCAAAAGCTTAGTGTAATCAAACATGTTAACCTCAGTAAATGTAAACTATTTACACTCAATAATAAGCTGTCAAATTGTAGCTGGGGTAATATGATTTATATACTTACAGAGTTTGAAAGTTTTGTTAATTTTTTTCCCCTTAATTTTTTTATATTATAAATAGAATCATTTGATGATATCTGTTGTTTGATTTGCAACAAACTGCATAATGATTAATTTTTTTACATTTGTGACTGGACATCTTTCATCCCGGTTATGACTTAACTCGCATTTATAATATTAAACTTTATTATAAAGTTTAACAAAAGTATTATCATATATGGCTTTATGATATCCCTTATCAAACGTATTATTGTATTTGGCTTTATCAAACGAATTCATTTCAAATGGATGGATATAATTATTATATTTTTTTGTTATTATTTATATTGACAACCGACATGTTTTTATTCCCCATTTTTATTTACTTATAAGTAAATGTCACATCAAAATAAATTGAAAAGTCACTATAGAGCCCGCAAATTCTTTTCCAATTCCGGCATCTCCATGTCAACCATAAACTGATACAAAGCTCGTCAATATCATTAAAATATTGACAACGCTTGCCAATTGTTCAACAAATTAGTTACAGCTTCCGTTGTTCTTCTAAGTCTGTTAAATTTAAATCTAGACACAAAATTCGTTGAAATAGGTATAAATATCTTATAGTATTGGCATGTTCTTCTTTAACGTTTCAATCAAATCTGGATAACATACACGATCTACTAATTCGATATTTTAATTTCCATAAAATTTATTTATATTTAGATTCAATTGGACTTACATTTTTGAAATGAAAACTGGCTTTCCAAATAAAAAAATAACGAGATATTTAGTTCTCCATCGAATTTATCAAATTTAGTGGATGAATCAGCCAGTTTTATCTTTGCTAAATCACCATTTAAGTCACCACCATTTAAGATTAAAATATACATATAAATATATTTTACCTGTTCTTCGACAATACATAACTTAGTTTATTAGCCATTGTTGACTATCTTATACATTCATAGTGTATTTTAATCAAAAACAATATAATAAATTCTACATTTAAGATATAATAATAATTATCATTCTTTTTAGAAGGTTTCTTTTTTCAATTATTAATAAATATTAAAGACTTCTTCATGAAGGTATGTATAAACTTATAATCAAATTACTTATAGTTATAAAGGATTTTAATAAAAATGTTCAAACTAACGTTTCACTTCACTAAATAGTTTATTAAGATGGTTATAAAATATTAATATTAAATAAATTTTATTTTGGTTTAAAGCTACATTTTATTGTAATGGATTAAATATATAAACGATTTTGTTAAGATATAGGTACATTTTTCTCATTTTAGATATATTATATTAATAAACACCACATTATAAACATCACAAGGGTTAAAATTTATTTTTGATATCTTGTACAAATACCTTGATTTAGGTTATATATGTAAATTGATTAGTAGATGGCATATTCATAAATATTTAAGATAACATTATATTACTTTTAATGATAGAAAATTGCATTTGTTTAATAATGAATTGCATTTTTTATTTTTTCTTATCTCCTTTTTATGATTTATATATATATACAATGATAAATAAAAGTTATTTAAGTTAAAATGAATACTTAGTTGATAATAAGAATAATCTTAACGTTTAAAAAGTAATGGTTAATTCATAGGCGTAGCCACGAGGGGGGGGGCTAGGGGAAATTCCACCCCCCCCCCTCTTCAGATATTTATCACTTTTTGTAAATATCATTTTTAACTAATAAAAAAATATCCCCCTTAGTCCTTCCCCCACTCCCTGACCCTCAAATATGTATGCATATATCTTATATAATAATTTAAAAGAAAGAATGTAAAAGTTGATATTTTTTTATAAAACTATTCATCATAATTTATAGATTTTTGAGAAAATAAATTTATAAATATGTAAAATGAACCAAAAATGTTTTTTAATAAATGGAATATAAGCCAAAAATAAGTCTTAAGACAGAAGTGAAATGTATTATAATTATTAATAATAGATCCATAAAATTACTAAATAATATAATATATCAAATATAATTTTTTATAAAGTGAGTAATTTTAAATTATTTATCTTAATAAAAGTAAAATATAATTATAAAACTATTGATAAAATTAAGTCATAAATTAAAAAAATATTAAAGCACAATACAAACAGTGGAATATTATATGTCGTAGATTTACAGTATATCTAATTATCAAATGACAATCAAATAATTTTTACCAATATAGCGAATTATATATTTTACAGAAAACTATAAAATATTGATAAGGACATCAGAAAATATCTTTTAAAGACATTGTGGGATGAAAAATATGAAGATTAAATTTAAATATAATTTTTATTTTAAATATATAGGTGGCGTTAAATAATTAAATGCAAATTGTTGTTATATTTAATATCAAGAGCATTGATTAGTAAAATTTGTTAAATTATTAACTGTAATATATTCTCTAACTGTCAAATATGTCTGTAAAAGTGGAATTTTACCTAGTATAACTAATTCTATATAATAGAGTAAAATCAACTATATGTCTACTTACTTTTTATAAATAAATTTCTTATAATTGTTTGGAATAAATTATTACCATGCTTTTATATTAAGGTATATACAATACAAGTAATTTATTTATATAAACTAATAAAAATATATTTTATATTTGTTCCAGGCTTATTTTATTTATTAAAATTTGTAAAAATATTTCATGACTATATATAGACTAAAGTAACCCGGCCCGCCCCCAGTAATTTTTTAATTCCCCCCCCTTATAATAATCCTGGCTACGCCTATGGTTAATTTAAGGTGTTGAAGAATAATAAATTTAAAGTAAAATAAAGTGAAACATTTCTTAAGGATATATGACAAAAATTTTGAACAATTTAAAAAGAAAGCTAAGATATAACAAATTGATTATATCAACAATATAAAACTTACAGTTTTTATAATTAGAAACCGATAATTTCCATAATTTTTAAAATATTTTAACATTTCATTTTTCAGATGCCCAAAATAACATTTAGCATTAGACAAATGTTGGATTCATTCATTATATTAAAATGATTAAATTTTGGAAATCCCCTAAATTATCTTTTTATTATAAGACCATGTCCTCAGAGTCGTTTAAGAAAATATTATCAAATGTGCAACAAATAGTTGGATACAATCCCTCGTTTTTAAGTATGAGAAACTTATTTAACGATGAAATTTCGAATATGGCTATGAGCTTTATGCAAATCATTAATAGCAAACATCCTTTACTTAAAAATACTAAGTTTATAAATATTTATGCTCTCAATATTTTCTTATATAGGAAACTTATATATGGAGATTATAATATTGTGCAAATGCATGGATTAATCATCCTATTAATTGCAAAATTATTTGGTATACCAAAAAACTTTACTAATACAACATTATCAGAAAATGAACAAGGCATTACACAAAAGTTTACATTATATATTAAATTTATAATATTAATAAGACAGAGATCTCTTTCTGAAGTAACACAGATGATATATTTAGCCAGGATGATACATAAAGGTATACTTGAATTTGAAGATGAAACCTTTGAAAAATCAATAATAATTGGTAATAATTTGGCAATATTAAGTGGAGACTATCTTTTAGCATGTGCTTGCAGGGATTTAGCCAAACTTGAAGATACATCTGTAAATTTTGAAACATATTATTTAAAAATAATTCATTTTAGGTTGTTGAAAAAATGTCTCAAGCCATTGCAGATTTAATGGTCTTAGAGTATAAGGAATATGAAGATATTCAAAATTTTAATAATGTCAATATCATCAATCAATCAATAGATAAAAAGTTTTTTAATTTGCTAGCCTATGGTTCATATTCTACATTGACTTTGGTCAACCATCCTATAAATTTTAAAAAATTGGCATTTGATTTTGGTGATCAACTAGGAACAGCTTTAGAAGTATAACTAAAAATTAGTTATTTTACTAATTTGATAATAGGACTATGCCAATCCATAAATTTTTCACTGATCTGATCTGATATTACCAAAAAATTGATCCGATATTTAGATTTTTTTACCATCTCTTTGTATTAATGCCTTAAAAATATCAATATTTTAAAAAAACCCAACTTTTACAAATGATTATGTGTATTTATTTTTTTCCCCAAAAGTTAAATCTCATTTAAAATATTTACAATGTGTATGGGTGAATGTTATTTTTGATTTTTAAATAGGGCTAAATCAAGATTTTTGCCAAATAATTATCAATTAAGCCTCAAAATTTTGCCAATATAAGATCATATATTTCTGCCATCTATGAGCAAAATCAATAAGCTTATATTTTTAAAAATTAACTAAATACGCCATTTAACATTAGATGAATGTGGCTCATTAGATATTTTGGGCATGACTAAAATACGCGTCCCCGAAAACTACGCGTCCCCGGTCAAACGGGTTTAATTTATATAATATTGATAAAAAATCTTATTTCGCTTTATAAGATGAGTTAAAAAATGTTTTTTATTATATTTAAAAAAAATGATAACTTAGTAAATTTTTTAAAAAATTATTTTTTTACATCAAAAAACTACGCGTCCCCAGTCAGGATACATTTTTTTTAAAAAAATAAAAGCAGATTCATATTTAGCTCATTAAATGAATATAGAAAATGTTTTTTATGATTTAAAAAAAATGATAACTTAGTAAAATTTTTAAAATATTATTTTTTTAAATTAAAAACTACACGTCCCCAGTCAAGATACATTTTTTTTTAAAAAATAAAAGCAGATTCATATTTAGCTCATTAAATGGATATAGAAAATGTTTTTTTTTTATTTAAAAAAAAAGTGGTAACTTAGTAAAATTTTTAAAATACTAATTTTTTACATAAAAAACTAAGCGTCCCTACGCGTCCCCGGTCAAGATACATTTTTTAAAAAAAATTAAAGCAGATTCATATTTAGCTCATTAAATGGATACAGAAAATGTTTTTTTTTATTTAAAAAAAAAGTGGCAACAGTAAAATTTTGAAAAAACACTTTTTTTCTTCATTTTTTGACTAAAATACACGTCCCCGGTCAAGATAGATTATTTTTATAAAAATGAATATAGAATCGTGTATAGTTTTTCAAGGAGATTCCGAAAATGGAATTTATAATTTTTTTTTTTTAATTTTTTTTCGAAAAAATTATTTTTTGACTAAACTACCCGTCCCTACGCGTCCCCGGTCAAGATACATTTTTTTAAAAAAAATAAAAGCAGATTCATATTTAGCTCATTAAATGGATACAGAAAATGTTTTTTTTATTTAAAAAAGGTGGTAACTTAATAAAATTTTGAAAAAACACTTTTTTTTCCATTTTTTGACTAAAATACGCATCCCCGGTCAAGATAGATTATTTTTATAAAAATGAATATAGAATCGAAATTATTAATACCATTTTCGGAATCTCCTCAAAAAACCATACACGATTCTATATTCATTTTTATAAAAATAATCTATCTTGACCGGGGACGCGTATTTTAGTCAAAAAATGAAGAAAAAAAGTGTTTTTTCAAAATTTTACTAAGTTGCCACTTTTTTTTAAATCAAAAAAAATATTTTCTGTATCCATTTAATGAGCTAAATATGAATCTGCTTTTCTTTCTTTTTTTTAAAATGTATCTTGACCGGGGACGCGTAGTTTTTTTATGTAAAAAATTAGTATTTTAAAAATTTTACTAAGTTACCACTTTTTTTTTTAAACCAAAAAAAAACATTTTCTATATCCATTTAATGAGCTAAATATGAATCTGCTTTTATTTTAAAAAAAAATGTATCTTGACTGGGGACGCGTAGTTTTTAATTTAAAAAAATAATTTTTAAAAATTTTACTAAGTTATCATTTTTTTTAAATCATAAAAAACATTTTCTATATTCATTTAATGAGCTAAATATGAATCTGCTTTTATTTTTAAAAAAAAATGTATCTTGACCGGGGACGCGTAGGGACGTGTAGTTTTTTGATGTAAAAAAATAATTTTTTAAAAAATTTACTTAAGTTATCATTTTTTTTTTAAATCATAAAAAACATTTTTTAACTCATCTTATAAAGCTAAATAAGATTTTTAAAAAATAATTTTTTAAAAAATTTACTTAAGTTATCATTTTTTTTTAAATCATAAAAAACATTTTTTAACTCATCTTATAAAGCTAAATAAGATTTTTTATTAATATTATATAAATTAAACCCGTTTGACCGGGGACGCGTGTATCTTGACCGGGGACACGTAGGGACGCGTAGTTTTTTATGTAAAAAATTAGTATTTTAAAAATTTTACTAAGTTACCACTTTTTTTTTAAATAAAAAAAAACATTTTCTATATCCATTTAATGAGCTAATGAATCTGCTTTTATTTTTTAAAAAAAAATGTATCTTGACTGGGGACGTGTAGTTTTTAATTTAAAAAAATAATTTTTTAAAAATTTTACTAAGTTATCATTTTTTTAAATCATAAAAAACATTTTCTATATTCATTTGCTAAATATGAATCTGCTTTTATTTTTTAAAAAAAATGTATCTTGACCGGGGACGCGTAGTTTTTTGATGTAAAAAAATAATTTTTTAAAAAATTTACTAAGTTATCATTTTTTTTAAAAATCATAAAAAACATTTTTTAACTCATCTTATAAAGCTAAATAAGATTTTTTATTAATATTATATAAATTAAACCCGTTTGACCGGGGACAGTTTTCGGGGACGCGTATTTTAGTCATGCCCGATATTTTAAAATCCTTTTTTTTGCTGGAGATAATAATACAAAAAATATTGTAAAATTTTTAACTATATTTTAAGACATTCCAAAAAATAAATAGTATTTGTTTCTTTCATTAATTTATTATATTGAAATTATTGATAAATAAAAAAAATTATATTATTATATATACAATCTTAAAATAACCCCATAACAATGAAAAAAAAATATTGGATCTGTTTTTTAAAAATATTAGCTTGATACATATTTTTTTTGAAAACACTAAATATCGGTGCCAATCTGATCAGATAGTTAATATGAGCTTATCCCTAATAATGAACATACTCAGTGTCATCCTTAAAAAAGAATCTAGATTTGTTAAAAACACAATAAAAGGATGTGCCTTTAGACTTAAAGCATGTTTTATGCCATTCATATCTCTAATTTTTTGATTTATATTCTGATTTCCATTTAGTTTATTTAAAAATGATCAATTTCTTGCCCATTTTTTCCCCAATTTTTTTTTTGTTCCACCATAGGCAATGTCAGTATTATATATTCATAATCCTTTTCAACTGGAGGGAAAGGGGTTCATTTTAATTTTTTTATAAATATCTAAAATAAGCATAAGCTGTTAAAATCTAAAAAATAAAAGAATAGGAAATTGGAAAGTCTAAAAACATATTAAAATTGATCCTTAGTAAAGATCATTTTCCGTGAAAATTTGAAGAAAAGTTTAGATTGGTGTATTTTAATTAGGGATGTACCTATATTTTATATCAGATCGGATCGGGCCGATATTTCGCCCATTTTAAAATATCGATCAGCAAATATAAAATTTCCCAATCCGATAAAAAATGGCACTTTTAACAAAATTTAAAAAAATTTATATCTAAAAAACCATTTATTTTTATAAATAAAATCGAAATATATTTTTATGTTTAATTTTTTTTAATAGTAATAATTAGTTAATAAACATTCTGCAATATAGTTATTTTTTTTAGCATTCTGTTTAAAAAAGTGTTCATTAATCTCTTCAGAATCTGTTTTTAGTGATGTTAGTGATATTAACAGTCCCCATCACCGCAGACCGATCTCTGATAAATTGGAAATTTTGGTATTTCTAAAAAGAAATCTTTGATGTATTAATTTTAAATATTAATTTCAAATTTCATAATATATTTGTTTATTACTAATTATGTAAATAGATTAATATTATTACTTATTATATAAATAATTTTCAATTGAATTGAATATTAACTATAACTGATTATTATAATATATTTAAATGACATGTTATGGTATAGTAAAATTATAGTTGTTGTACTAATAAAAAGTATATTAAAAATTAAAACCGGTATCTTTACAGAATACAAAATTAGATATGATATCGGATCGGTTATCGGCCGATATCAATTTAATATCTGGAATATCGGATCGGCCTCCAAAAAGTGGTATCGTTACACCCCTATAAAATACATTCTAAATTTTAAAAACCTTAGCTGGGTCTTAAGATGATCTAAATCTGAGAAATCTAAATCAGGCCTGGCTCAAAATATATTTAAATATGAGCTGAGCTTGAAAATGTAGATCCATGCTGGGCAAAAAATATGACTTGTCATATAAAGAATGCCCCTATGTAGAATTCAATATTAATTTTCAGCCTAATATGCTTATCTTTATTGTAATTTTTTTAGCTATATGTTAAAATCAAAGAACCTAAACATTTTAATAATGTGCAAAAGTCAGTACTAGTGCAAAATTGTGTTTTTCAATTCCAAAGTGCCTTAAACACATTATCAATTGTCACTTCAATAGAATCCAACATAAAGTCGATATTTAAAGATGTCATTAATTCATTCCTTGATTCTATTAATCAAATCAATACTAATAGAGATATACCAACCATTCATCATGATACATAAACATTTATTTATAAAATCCATAAGACAAAAATTTATATGCAATTTATAAATTATTTAATAATTATTTGTATTTAAATCTATCAAACTTTGTAACAATAATCATATTTATAGCCATACTTCATATAGATATGGATTAAATTAGGCATGGTAATAAGATGTTATGATATACATATAATTTTTGCATTCATTTCTCCAATTTAAAATTTTTTATAAACCGAATTTTAATTATGAAAATGAAAAATTGGGTTGTATCTTAAAAATGTAAATTGCAATATGAATCATAAGTTTATAAACATTGGATTTAAATTGCTATTTTTCTATATCTTATTATTTGTACCAAGGGTAGGCAAGTTGGACAAAAAACAGATATAACCTAATTTTTAGGAAGCTTAGAAAATAGAGAAGATTTAAAAATGCTTTTACAACAAATGTATTTAATTTTATCCAGCCCATATCTCCCATAAATTAAGCGAAATAAAAAAAAATGAATTTAATATTTCTATAACCCTTGTTATCATCAAAAATTAATATTTTAACTCCCCCCCCCCCATTTCTTAGCGTTTTAAAATTTTTCATAAAACTAATTTGCAGAGTAATGTCTTTTTGCAGAAGGATATTTATGTTCCAATGTCGTTTTGTCAGATTACCAAAAATAATATTTTGATAGGAATTCGATATTAGATGTGTAGTCCCCCATTAAGAAATCAGCTAATAACTTAAGGCTTCGAATGCCGCACTAAATATTTTGATTTTACCCAAACTAAAAGGGGCCTCTATATACACTTAAATCGGTTTATAATTATAATTAATAAAAAAAATCAGGATGGAGGCTTACATGTTGGCCCGACAAACTTGGGCCTAAAAAATCAGAGTGGAGGTGTCTAAAATATTTTTAAAATTGGAATAGACTCTTTTTTGAAAATTCTAAAAATTTCTTTTTTTAAAAAATAAAATGATATAGAATTTCTTTGAATTTCAATTAAGTGATTTTTATTGTATTTAACTTTATAAAAATGATTTTTATGCCAACTTCGGAAAATGAATTTTTAAAATCAAAAGTAATATATTAAAAAAATTTATTTTAAAAAATCCGTTTACTATATATTTATTCATAAGGTTGCCAAAACCTGTTTCAAAAATTATAAACTTTAAGAAAACAGTGATAAAGTGTTGAGAATTTCACAAATATATTTCTATTTAAAAAGAAGATCTATTTCGTGTTCTTCGATAAAGTTTTCCTATTAAATTTTTTGATGTGGGCACATAAAAAGTTAAATGCTAGATATTAAAAAAATAATAAATTAAAACAAATGTTTTTAGCTAAAAATAGTGTTGACAGCATTTCGCACCAAAATAATTCCTGTCCACAAAACAAAAATACATACTGTTTTCATTTTTTTTAATTGGGAATAGAAAGTCAACTTTTTCAATTATTTTTTGAAAAAATTAATAAATTCTCTAAAAAATATTTAGTGCAAAATTACATTGAAAAATACTAACCTTTAAAGGGTTCAATGAGTTGGTATTACTAAAAAAAGTTATCGGCCTTTATCGGTATCGGGGCATCTCATATTTTTTTAAAATTCTTCTAGATGAGGTGAATGCGTAATATGAAAAAAAATTCATCTTCCTTAAATTAATAATGTTAAAAAATGGGGTAATTTTGTACATACAGCATTCTAATACAATACCTTATTTCTTTTATTTTTATAATAAAAAACGATTAGGTACTCATTTGATTGCATTATTATTATTTTTAAATATAATTAATGACACTGTATGTACTCAAATTATGAATTAATTTGATAATTATATTTATTCTTAAAATTATTTTACGAAAGACATAAATGCTAGAGGCTATTTGTATAAATATTAATCATTTATTTTATGAGACTCATTTATGTAAATTCAATCTTTCACAAAAATCGGAAATGTGTTCTGCACATCTTAAAATGAGTTTTACAGAAATATCTCAAATTATCAATCAATTCTAAGACCATAACATCAGAGTCGTTTAAGAAAATATTATCAAATGCTCAGCAGATGGTTGAATACAATCCTACATTTCTGAGCATTAAAAACTTATTTAACGACGAGATATCGAATATGGCTCTGAGTTTTATGCAAATCCGTAATAACAAACATCCTTTATTTGAAAAAACAAAGTTTACATTATTTATTTATGAGCTTCATATTCTTATATAGAAAACTTATATCTGGAGACTGCAATATTGTGGAAATGCATGGATTAATTATCTTATTAGTTGCAAAGTTATTTGGTATTCCAAAAAACTTTAGGTATACAACATTATATGAAAAAGAACAAGGCATTACACAAAAGTTTACATTATAATATATAAAGTTTATAATATTAATAAGACAGAGATCTCTCTCTGAAATAACACAGATGATATATTTAATCAGGATGCTACATAAAGGCATATTTGAATTTGAAGATAAAACTTTTGATAAATCAATAATAATGGGCAATAATCTAGCTATAATAAGTGAGGACTATCTTTTAGCATGTGTACACAGGGGTTTAGCTAAACTTGAAGTTACATCTAAATTATAAAATTAATACCATAATAGATTGATTTTATAATTTATTTTAAGGTTTTTGAGATGAATAATGCCATTGCAGATTTGATGGTTTTGGATTTTACAGAATATGGAAATATTCATAATCTTAATATCAATTTCATCAAAGATAAAAAGTTTAATAACTTATTAGCTCACAGTTCATTTTCTACATTGATATTAGTCAATCATCCTACAAATTTAAAAAATTTGGCCTTTGATCTTGGAAATCAATTAGGAACAGCTTTTGAAGTATATATAAATTTAAATATATAACTAAAATATAAATTTATTATTGAATAATTTCATATAATGAATGTTACCGGTAATGTGCAAACTTAATTTAAAATTTTCATTTTTTTATACATATTTTTATTAAATTTTTAACTTAATTTTTGTTCATCTTCGATTTTAATTACAATTATTTAAAATTTTAGTTTTTTTATATCATAGTTCGACATCGAGTATTAAGAATAACCCGTGACTTTTTTTTATTGTTGTCGACACCATGGGGCCGATACCAATTTATTCAACCCTTTAAAAGTTAGTTTAATATTCGATGAAATTTTGCAGTAGAGATATTACATTTTCTCGCAAAATATTTTTAAAACTTATTGTAATTATTTTTAGAACATAATCATTATAAAAATAAGTTTCCCTGTTTCTCTAGACTGATATTTTTACAAAATGCTGGTTGGGGTTTTTCCATAGAAAGAAAACCAATCACAATTCGAGATAAAAATATTAGATTCTTACATTTTATTTTTAAATTACCATTCCTCGGTATGTTATACAAAACGACTAAAGAGGTCGTTATAGAAAAGACATCTGGCCTAAAAAACTTGTGTGCAGCATAATAGAGAATGGGGGATTTGATTTTGAGATTGGGTACCTGGAATGTAGGTTAGATGTTGTTGAGGCTTTAGGCAAACATGAACTTGACATATGTTGGATATAAGAAACATGATGGAAAAGACGTGGTAAATAAACGATAAGAATATTGGCAAGGATCAATAAGGGAGAGTCTGGAGTTGGAATTAACATTCACGAAAGACGAATAGATTCCATCATTGATGTCAAAGAATCTTACGAAATACCCTTTTATATTATCTATGTATGCCCCACAGTCAAGTAGAAGCGAATAGGATACGGTATTCTTTTAGCATCAACTTGCTAAAACAGTATATGTTATTCTACCTAATTAATTTGCATTCCTAGGAAAGAATTTGAACGACCACTTAAGAAATATGACTAAAGATATCAAGGTCATTGACGATACAGGCGCTCATAACCCAGAGGGTAAAATTATATTGGAGTTTTGTGACTTGAAGATTATACTATGTATCGTAATGTTTAGAAAAAGAGAACATTACGAAAATCAGGGGAGGGTTACCATAGTTGATTACATGCTAATAAGATCCGATTAGGGTTGGGCAAATTTCCAGAAAATTGTATTCGGATACAGATACTTTATAAAATTTTGTATTTCAGATACTAGATACTTTAGAAAAATTTCAATAAGATACAAGATACTTGTATTTTTTAAAAAAAGTATCTAAGATACAAGATACTTTTTTAAAAAACTTTAAATAGTCAAATAATATAAATTTATAAAAAAATATTTAAAATAAACTGTAGAAAATAACAAATTTATTATAAAAGATAATGCGATATTCCATTTAATAATTATATAATTGGTAAATAATAATAAATTAGCATCATAAATCAGCATTATTTTTTAATATTATTAATTTTTCAAATAATTTATCGTTCAATCTTTGACGATTTGGTCTATTAACCATATTAGCAAAACATAATCTTTCAACGGGGGCTGAGAAGGGTAATTGTGTGTTATATTTAATAAATATTTCTTTTATATATTTATAACTATTAAACATATTTATACTCCACCTGTCATCTTTCATATAATTTAGGACCTCTATTTCAATATCATTTATTGAATTATTAGAATTGGATGTGGTACTTTTAAAGCAAAAGTAATCATCATCTTCATCAATTGAAGATTTTGCTGAAGTATTAATTTCAATATTATTTTTAAAAACAATTAAAACTTCATGTAATAACAAATCCTGAAGGTATTTTTTTTCTTTTTCACCATCAATCCAACGATTTTTAAAATAGGGGTGAGAAATAGTTGCCAAAAATGCACTTCTAAAATTGTTATCAAAATCATATATATTTTTAAATCTTTTATTTAAAGAATTTTCTATGGCAGTAGCTAATGGTTTGCAAAATTGTAGATTGGTTTGAATTAAATTTGTAATTTTTTTTTAACGACATTTAAAATTGGAGCTCATTCTCCATAATAGCAGTTGATTTCACTCTGTATTTTGTCAATCGCTATAGCCAATGGGGCTATTATATTGCAATATTCTTCTAAATATTGAATTTCAATATCTCTTAATTTAGGAAATTCTAATTTTTGATATAATTTAGGAAGTTCCCCTTTAAATTTTAATAAACTATGAAGACTATCATACAAACTATTCCATCTAGTGCAACAAGGTGTAACTAATTGTTTTCCTAAAACATCTTTGATAAGTTCTGCAGTTTTAGGCCTATTATTTGCATTCCATAGCTTAGTACATTTAGCTATTGCAGGATGATGAATTTTAGAAATGTTAGGAGAATCCTTAATAGCTCTCTCGACATCTGTTGTGGCAATTAGACTTATCGTATGGCACAAACAACGAATTTGTTGAGGCAATGTTATTGAGGCTTCTTTAGACCCTTAAATAAACAAATAAATAATTTTATTTGAATAAAATTTTTTACTAAATTTACAATATCATAATAAATTTTAAAGAAGTATTAAATAATACTTTCAATGATTTCGAATTCTATACATTCATCATCATTGATGTCAAAGTCATTCTCTACAGCTTCCATAGAATATCCAAACTCCTTGAAAGCTTTCTTAAAGTTAGAGCCGTTATCTGTAACAGTTGCTATAACTTTTTCGTCAATACCAAAGTCACGATGAATTTCATCAACTAATTCTGCCAGTTTATCATAGGTGTGGCTTCCTGAAAATCTTCTCACAACAAGGGCCTGAGATTGTCTTTGTAAACTATCACTTGAGAACTTATTTAAATATTTATTTAATTGAATTTATAAATAAAATAGCATATTATTTCATTACCCAGTGACAAGTCATTCCAAGAAAGCTTCTAGTCTTAGTAGACCAAATATCTGCAGTAGTGCAGATGTATGTCTGAGCTTTCAATAACTGTTTTAAATTATCAGTTTCATGTATGAAGCTTTCATCAATTTTTCTTTGCAAAGATCTTCGAGAAAAATTTTTAATTGGATTTCCAATACAGGATAATATTTCTAATAAATTGACAAGTAGAAGAAATAAGGATAAGAAAAAAAAAATTGAATTTACCTTCCATCATTTTGACAAATTCCTTTTGCTCAACTATGGATAATGGATTGAAGTTAATAAATTATTAAATTTATCTTGAGATATTTTTTTCTTATTATCATTTGAAAATTCTAAGTTTTTTTGAGTTAATGATGTAGTTTTCACTATTTCTTTTTGTTTTTTCTGTTTGTGTGATATTTTATGATGGGTCATATAATTTTTATATGATTCCAGATGACGTCTCTATAAGTGAAACAAATAATAAAATATTTTATATTAGATATTTACTAATTTTTTTGTAAAAAATTCTACTTTTAATGATAAAATTAGATGAAATATATTTATATTAAAATATTTATGAAATTTTTGTCTTATTTATAAATAATAATTAATACCCATTAAAATTTTATAAATAATTTTTGTAAAATCATTAAAAAAATACATTTGTAAGAATTTTTTTAAAAATAATTTTTTAAAAAATTATATATTTTAAGCATATGTGTAAAAATTAAAAAAAAACTTATGGTGGATTAAATATTGCTAAGTACTATCTATCATATAAATATGGTGCCCCAAATATTTGGATTATATTTTGGCCTAGTGTTCAAATTAACAACCTCTTTTTTTATCAATATTAGTTTTCTTATATGTTTCATAAATGATTTTTATCAATAATATGAAAATTTATTTTAAAATACTTCTAAATTTAGCAACAGATATGGAATATGAAATGATAATGAATATGATTATAAATGTGATTCATTATATATTTATATATTATACTTTTAGATGCTTGACAAAATTTGATGACGAATCCGCAGAACCATTTATAGGTTTGTGGCATTCTTTACATTATGCAGTAACTTTATTATGATCATCTTGAAGTACTTCCAAAAATTTGCCATTAATTATGCTTAGTTTAAATTTATTGTTATAATTTTCGCTTGAAGAATCATCTGAAGACGAAGATAAACATATTATTCTATTTTCTTCTTCCATAATTTTAAAATAGACAGATATAAAACGATTCAAATATGGTAGTTCTAATTGTTAGCAAATTGCTATATGACGACCAACGTTATATATCAAAAATTATCATAAAATCCTGCCCCCCCCCCAAAGCCAATCTAAATTTTGATTAAATTTTTCATTTAAATCTTAAAACAATATCATTTTAAATTTTAATACTATTTAAATTAACCAATACAAATTTTTTTAAAGTATCTGTATCTTTTTGAAAATAAAGTTGGTTAAGATACAAATACTTTTAAATAATATGTATCTTAGATACTGAATACAAGATACATTCCAAAATTTTAAAAAAGATACAAGATATTAGATAAAATATCCGCGATACTGCCCAACCCTGGATCCAATGACTGCAAACATATTAAATATAACGATCACGATCTTTTCAAAAAAAGAGGATCGAAATCCAGAATCGACCTTTTTTTTAAAAAAATGATAGTATTTAAATTTCTAATCGATGCAAAATTAACTAATATAAAAAATAAATAAATATGGTATATATTTACTGTAATTGAATAATATAATATAAGTATAACAATTAGAATATATTTATTCATAATTAAATTAGCCTTTAATAATAAAAATTTTTCTAAATTATCATCATTTAAACAACCACGTTTTTCATTAAGTACATGTTTAGCTTTACTAAACAAGCGCTCCACAGGAGCGCTTGATGGTAAAGGTGTGTTATATTCATTAAAGAGCGCTTGATGGTAAAGGTGTGTTATATTCAATAAATGTTTTTTTTAATTAACATAATTATTAAAAATATTCACTGAATCATCATTAGAATAAAAAAAATTATTAATGGCAAGAGCATTTTGTGACGAGTTTTTCCCCAAAAAGGTATCGAACCATGCTTTCATTTGAAGGATCTGCATATGGTTGACCCTGTATGTTTTCTAAATGGGCTGTGGCAGATTAATAAAAGGCCAACTGAGCTTAATTTTTGGGTAAATTATTGATGCCAATATATTACTGTCATCATATAGTGAAGGAAATCCAATAATTTTTATTATATGCATATTGTTAGATCTTCACAAATAATAAAAATTGTATTTTTAAAAGAATTAATTACTTCTAAATGCCTCTTTAGGTTTGAACTTCTAATCTTTGAAGAAGGTATTTAGGACATTATTAAAACCTAGAATTTATATTATAATATAATTAATAAATAAATATAACTTGTTCTTACAAAAAATTTGGGAAATTGTTGAAATATAAAATCTGGTGGAGGTGGTTGATAAAATATGATGTAGATAGATATTTTTTTAAAATAATATGTTAATTTAATTTTCAAAATTTTTATTTTATTTATTGCTTTTTAAGTAATAAAAAATTTTTTAAAAGGATCGGGATCGAATATTTAAAAATATGATCTCGATCACGATCCACAATTTAAGGTCAGGATCTTAAATCCGAGAAAATTGACAAATTTAGGATCGAATCCAGGATCGGCGATCTATTGATTCTATCCTTTAACAACTCTAGGTGAAGCCTAGTTTTATCGTCAAAGCAGAAATTTTGACGGCTAAAAAATATGAAACATTATAAAGCAGTTGATATGATATATTAAATATGTATCTGAGACGTGAAAAGCAGCTCAAATGGTGTAATTCCAAAAAATTGTGAAAAAAAGATACCCTGCTAATTGTGGTTCTTGCCTTCTAATAAATTTATCCAGCGTTAAAATGAGAGCGGAGAAATGGCAGATGCCATTTACGTCCTAATACCTGTGCCACAAAGTAGCGGAGATATTTAGAAAAAAACTAAAGATGATAAGTAAAAAAAAGTTATAAAAAAACATTGAAGGGTTTCTCTCAGCTTACTATATTGCTAAACTTAATATGTCTTTTTTTTATTATAAATTTAATTACAAAAAAAATAACCCATCGATTTGAGTCTTATTTTGTTATTGCCTGCAGAAAGTATAATTGAAGCCTAGGAGCTTTATCCTTAATGATTTTAATTATTTACAATCAAATTTAAAGCAAATGTAGTGACAGGATAGCATTTTGAAGTACACGCTTAAGCAGTAAAACCCCATTCTATTATAGTGGCATTGCTTAAAACGCATTTTAAGTTTGTGCTGATATAAGATTTAAACTGGCAGTGAAATCTATAAAAAAAATTAATTCTGGCGCCCTTTACAGAAAATCACATAAAAATTATAAATCTCCTAAGCATTCGAGGAGTAGTGGCGTACAAACAGTTTAAGAGGTATAGAATGACTTTAAATGAAGTCGACTAAAGATGTGTTATTCAAAAATTATTTAAAATTAATTGTTTTTAAAAGGTATGTGGCTACCCGATTAGCAAATCCTGATTATCATTTCGGATTTACCTATGGTATGGTGCCCTTAGAGAATTCGGTGTAATTGCAATATATTACCATGTACAAAACACAAGAGCCGCCAAAGAAAGCATAAGTTATTAATTCCTTTTAAAGATATACCTTATAAGCAATATTCTAAATTTTTATAATTTAAATACTTGACTTCATATTTCTCTCGAGCATTTAAAAAAAAATCTAAAACTTGTAAGATTGGATACAAATCTATTTATAACAACACCATTGAAAACGAGTTTATTAAAACTTGAATAAAGTTTAACAAAATTATATTTGTTTCAGAAATTATTTCTGATATTCTTCATCCCAAAATAAAATTGGACGATAACCCTAGCCATATGATTTGGTGAAAATCTAATTGAGGAATTAAGATTCAAATTAAACTAAGATGAAACATTTGCTGGGCATAGAATATATTAATGAGAATTTTCCTTCTTAAAACTTTAAAAAATTCTTTGACTGTGTGGATATTTTATCTTGCAGTACTATTGAATTTGAAAGTTGCCGTTGATTCGTGAATTTGATAATCGGAAAAATTTTAAAATATGGCAAATTAGATGTCCATTTAGGGGGCTTTGGAACACTGTTTTTTTTATTCATACATGAAAGCACGGGGAAACACTATTTAAAAGCTAACAAAAAAAATTTAGCCTAGAACATGATTTATGGAAAACTTTTTGATTTATATTTGTATATAATAATTTCATTCTTTCCTCCCGCAAGTTTTCAAGCAATACATCACTGTTTACAAGGTAAAATGATATATTAATATTTTAAGAAATTTACAATTAATCCAATCCTAACCATCTCACTATACTAACTCAGTTGTATTGAGTTAAAATAAAACAGATGGTAACTCAAAATTTATAAGTTTTTGCTGAAATTACATAAATAATATTTGTTAAAAAATATAATCACCGAGTCCATACATAGTTTGGATAAAATATGCAAATACTTATAGGCAATTTATCTAAGGTATCAATTTCATTTTTAAAAATAATATGGATGGATATTGGGTATAAACAGGTAATCACATTTTAACACATTTAAATGTTCAACAAATAAGTAATTCAGGTATATTCTACAAAATGTCATATTACTAAAAAATCGCACGTAAACAAAAAATTATTAGTCTGCAAAATAGCTAGCCATTATCTAAATTTGCACATTAGCTCTGGTTTTAAGTTCAAATTTACGTTGTAAAAAAACCTTTGTTTATGTAATTTGTTATAATTGTTTATTAAGTCAATAGTATTATTTTCATAATAATTAATTTTTTCAGCTATATGACAAAATCAACGAACCCGCACATTTAACTAATTTACAACAATCATTACTGGTACCTAATTGCGCCTTCCATTTCCAAAATGCCTTAAATACCTTATCAATAATAAACCCAATAAAATCTGATATTAAGTTTATATTTAAAGATGTCATTAATTCATTTCTTGCTTCGATTAATACTAATAATAAACATTAAATAATAGTGAAATATATATTGAAATAAAAAAAATATATATGACAAGAGTTTCATTTATGCAGCTTAAAATATATTCAATAATTATTCATTTACGAATAAACTTGTAAATTTAAATGCATACAATTATCATAATCATACAAAATATAATATACAAATTTGAAACGACCTATAACACATTAGATATTAAAAAAAGTTTTAATCATCCTCCAAAAATTGTCCCCATCTTTCTAATCTCTGCACCTTTTCAGCCTCGGTCTCTTCGATCTTGAACTTGGTTTTACCATCCCATCTTTCGGCTTCAATTTTTCTACCAGCGTAAAATCGGCCATTCATAGTACCCAGGCAGGCATCCGCCTCTTCAAATTCGTTAAATGTGACTGATGCTACACCCTCCGGATGCCTCTGTAATTATAAGTAATAAGTATTTATATAAATGCCGTTATATTTAAAAAAACTAACAATTCACTTTTTTAAGAGAACTTATACAGCGTTAGATGTCTAAAATTATTAATTTATTTGAAGGAAATAGTTTGTATATAATTCATCAAAAAAAATATTCGATTTCAATTTTTTAATATTAATATGTTTATATTAAAGTATTAACATTATTCATCTTTTTGTTTAATTTATATATAAATACATTAGATAAATTAGTAAAGTGTACCATTTTTTTAACAAACAGACGGTTTAACATATTTAATATTATTAAATAAATAATTAACTCCAGAAATAAAGTGCCAATTCAAGTCATATCAGTTAAAAATTATTCAATTCATTCATTATTCATGTCTGTTCTAGCTATACCTTGAGCAATTTTTTTTAAACACCACGCGGTCTTGTTATAAATATAGATATATATTTTCTTACGCCAAAAAAATAATATCTATAAAATTAATCTATGAGATTTTAACCAAAAATCTAGTTAAAAAATTAATAATAATCAAGGAACGAACCGTGTTAGTACTATTTAATATAATAAATAATAAAATTTAACAAAAAAAAATTGAATAAAATATACAATCCTTTAAAAGCAAATCAAATCGGTTAGTTACAATGGGATGAAGATTTAAAAAAAAATTAGGTAACCGAAATCAATGGAGATCAATTAAGATGCTTCATAAACTACACAAAATTTTCTGATTTATTCCTTGTTAAAATATTTTTAAAGAGTTACCCAATCACTACCAATCCGGTGGGTAAAATTTGTGGTCTCTAATCGTTATTAAAATTTAATAATCTTAATAAATATAGTTTTTGATTTAAGCGATAGGGGGTGGGGGTTTGAAATTTCGCCCAAACAATATAATGTGTATCTTACAAATTATTATTTTTACTCACATCGTATATCTTGACCTTTTTGACTAACCCAAACTTGGCACACTCTTCTCTTAGTTCCTTTTGATATTCGATAATTAATGCGGCATCTTCCTAATATAAAATAAAAAAAATAATATAATAAAAATTAAGTAATAAGTATTTGTTTACATCGAAGGTTTTAGGATCAAACATATTTTTCAAAATTATAGTTTTTTCTTTACTAAGTCTTTGACCAACTATGGGATCTGGTTTCCACGCCAATAATCTTAAATATTTAAATTTTAAACATAAAAATGTTTATAAATAAGTGCATATTCTAACATATCGTCGACCGAGTATCACGGCTTTGTTAGCTAGGTGCTTTGAGTGATAAATAATCTCCTTTTTAAAATAAGCACCATTTTTGAAAAATGGATAAGCACCCTATTTTTTTAACCCTTTAATCCAACTTTTTAAGAAATAAAATCTTTATTTATACTCCTTAGATGGAAAATTTCTAGTTTAAATTAAATTTTACGATGTATTTATAAAAGATTCCATATGGCGTCTATTGGCGCCTATATACAAATGATATGTTCTTTAGAATAAAAATGCTGGCATTATGATAAATATAGTCAGAATCTATGTGTAACCCACTAGTTAAAGAAAGTATATCATAAAAACTAAACGTAATAGAAGGTTTATAATTTGATCAAAATCGAAACATAAAAATGAGGAAAAGTAAAAACATAATAAAATACAAGCAAAAGGCTATGTTAGCCTGAGAATTAATAAAATAAGATTGAATTTATTATATAATTATGTTATGAATGTCAAATTAAATCATTAAGCTTTCTTAGTGCTTATAAAATAACAAGGTTGAAGATGTAAAGTTAGCTCGCATGACTAAAGGGTATTAGCACCCATTTAAACAAATATTTTATTTAAATAGTTTTCTTAGAAATTTTAAAGCTTATTTTAAATAAATATTATTTTCACAAAATGTTGAAATATCAAGATAGTATATCATATCAATTATTGTATAAATATTATATTATTAGATGATCTTATACATCAAAATAAAAAAACCTAGACATAGAATACGTTAAGGTTATTTAAATTCAATATACATCTTTTTTGTGCTAATTTTTGAACATTCAAAAAGTTGTGCTTATTTTCCAATTATTCTCATTTTGATTCCACTAAAATGAAAATCAAAAAAATGAAATTGGTAGAAATATTCTGATAAGAAAATCTAAAAGGTAAAAATTTTTAGATTGGAGTCATAATTTTGATTGGTTATGAAGGTAAGGCATTTGAATAAGCACTGACATTATTTTAATTAGAGAATACATGTATATTTATTATAATTAAATAGTAGGAAATATAAACATATAAAGATAAACCCGGACGAAAGTCGGACAAAAGGTATGTCAAAGGGGCAGAGTTGTTAAAGTAGCGCGGTATCTTTTTTGGTAGCTATAGCTAATAGCCGCTACTTTTAAAAAATATAATGAATGTAAGTATAAACATGAAAATTTAAATATAATATCATAATTAATTATAATTTTTATAATTTATTATTTAATTTTGAAATTTAAATATATATTCAATTTTTAATTTATATTTTCAATCTGTGTTAATAATCTAAAATGGCATCGCCCATGGATATCCAAATCCTTGAAAGTGATTCAGACATGGAAGATTCGATGGAAGAAAATGTACTTAATAGCTCTAATAACGATTTCCCATTCCCTAGATTTGAAAAATTTTTTAAAATAAATATTAAAACAAAATCTGGATTCAAATTCCTGTGCTTAAAATGTAAAAAAAATATATCATCAAATCAATCGAGTAGCTATAACCTGAAGAAACACCTAATGGTAAATTGTTATTATTACATTATAATATTATTTATTTTATTAGACTGTTCACGGCAATTGCTATAAGGAAATAGAGAAACATATAAAAAATTTTGGTATAAGAGAATCTTCATTCAAAAAGACAAATACTATCCAAACCAAATTAACTGATAATAAACATGCCAATATTTCACAAAAATTGGCTGATAAAGTAATTGTTGATTTTATTATTGACACAGTTCAGCCATTGTCCTTGGTTGATAATCCATCATTTACTATGATGATTAAAACTTTATCCCCTGGCACAACAGTTTTATGTCGCCAGACACTTATGAATAAAATAGCCGACAACTTCAAAGTGATGAAAGATGCTCTAATAGTAGAGTTATCAGATATATCTTATGTATGCACACCGGCAGATAGTTGGACACATAACAGAAGGTAAAAACTTATTTATATTTATAACTTGATCTGATTAAATATTTTTAGAGCTTCCTTGCCCTCAAGTGCTAGCGTCGAGAGATTATTTAGCAAAGCAAAGCTTATACTTTCTGATCGTCGCTCTAGACTTGGGGATGATAATATTGAAATGATATTATTATTAAAATGCAACAAATTAAAATAAATATTTATTTATATTGCTTATTTTTTTATAATCTAAACTAAATATATTTTTATATTTATAAATGTTGATTTTTATATATTATTTATTATACATTTACATTATAAGCAAAAAAAAAATTGTTTCATTTGTTTCTAAAATTTTTTTTATAAAAAGTAGCTAATAGCGCGCTACTTTTTTTGACAAATAGCGAAAGCAGTAGCGCGCTACTTTTTTTGACAAATAGCTATAGCGGTAGCGCGCTACTTTTAAAAATAGCGTTTAACAACTCTGCAAAGGGGGTATGGAGGTAAAGCTCACCCCCTTATAATATATAAAAATAGTTTTAAAAAAAATTATGGAAACTTTTAAAAATAAATTATCACTTTAGCACTCTCTTTTCAAAATAGCTAATGACGCCCCTGAGAGTGATGCTGATGTTTATTCATAATATAAAATATTAGCGATCAGACTGAGTAAAATGACGTAAGGAATCAGAACAAGAATGCTATATTTTTTTCCCATCATCGATGGAGATTTTTGTAAAAAGAGAAAATGCGAACTTTCTTCTAAGGTTAGTTTTATCCTGCATTCATAGTTGAGCATGAATGCAAAGGAAAAAATATAGCCTATTATACAAAACATTCATAGTTAGATTTCGTTTTGCAAATAATTATTCCAGCACAAATACAAATTTATTTATAATTTCCATGTTGGTCTAGCAAAATTATAATATTCATATTTGATAAACATATTAGCAAGAAAAATAAAATATGGGCGTTAGTCAAATATTTGACAGATCAGGATATTTAAACTGAATGGTTAGGTGAATAAATATTATAAAGTTTTAAAATAAATATCTTTATATTTTCTATATTTAAACTTTGTTAGAAACCAATAAATCTAAAAGTTTGAAGAGTGGCTCTGGGTGTGAAGACCCTAACTCATGGATTCATTAGAATTGTTTAAAGATCACAAATTTCATCCTTGGATACTAGATAATTTCAATTTTGAAATATCTATAGTTGAAGGTGATTAATAACCTTAAGCTCTTAATTAGTAAAATAAATAATATGATATAGATCTATCAAGTGTACTGCATATGCTAAATTTTTTATTAAGATGAAGGTAATATCTACTATTTTTTTATTAATTTGTTTGCAGCATTTCAAAATTTGATATTTTTGTGGAATTAGTTTTATAAATAATAAAAATTGGTTCGAATGAGGACTTGCAAATTTTTTATTAATATTTGACCTGTCGCCGACAAAAGTATCGGCAGCTAGCGCGAGTTTTTAAAATCTAAGCGGCCGACGGCCCACCGCTTTTAAGCCGAGCTGTCAAAATAGGCAGCGTAAATTGGATGACCAACATAAAATTATATTTATTTTAAATTGCAAATTGAATTTTTTTTAAAATTTCATTCAAAAGGAAGCAATTTAGAAATTTTAACTCAATTTTGTAGTTAACATATATAAAAATAATTTTATTTGAATATGATGGACATAAAGGTGATCCCTTGAATTCAAGCCAAAATAGAGATAGGAAGCCCTTTCACTAGGTGAACAAGCAGAGCCCAAAGAATATTTCTAGCTACCTCAGAGATCCTACTTTCTCTCCAAAAAATTTATAATATGGAAATCTTGCGAATAGCGTTTTTGGAGAAGAATATGGCAACCTTTTCATAACAGAAAGAGGAAACATAATTTGTGATAATTGTATAATTTTCATTTTCTTAATCTTGTCAAATCTGTTGATATTTCCTCTTTCAAACTCTATATTCACTAATAAAATTACTCTATAAGTTTAGGAATTTAATTTAAAAAAAATCAGATGTGCAATTTTGCTCTTTTACATATTTTGATATAATTTTAAAATATTTTATTGGGTATAGAATAGATCCTCAACACCTAGATACATTTTGAAATAAGAGAGATCTGCAAAAGTAGGCCCCGCCCGTACCCGGTCTAAACGGGCCGTGTTAATTTTTTAAAAACAATCGGGTTCGGGCGGGTCGGGCCTAATATTTTTTAAAGAAAATTGTGGCCGGGTACAGGGTTGCCAGGTCAAAATTTTCAAATTGTGGGAGAAATTAGGTATTTTGTGGGAGAAATATAAAAATTGTGGGAGAAATTGCTAAAAAAATTTTTTTGCAGGCCTTCGGCCTGCAAAGGACCGGGATTTAGAATTGACTTAGTTATCCACTTATTATTTTTTATAAATATAAAATCTAATCTATTTTCCAAAATAAAATAGGTAATTATTTTTCAAAATAAAATAGCTAACTTTTTTTAAAATAAAATAGCTAACTTTTTTTCAAAATAAAATAGCCAACTATTTTTCAAAATAAAATAGCCAACTATTTTTCAAAATAAAATATCCAACTCTTTTTCAAAATAAAATAGCCTAACTATTTTTCAAAATAAAATATCCAACTCTTTTTCAAAATAAAATAGTTAACTATTTTCCAAAATAAAATACCCAACTATTTTTCAAAATAGGTAATTACTGTACGACACAAAATTTCTTAGAGTACTATCTTTATTATTAAAAAAACATATTGATTTATTATAATATATTAATTTTGTTTAAAAATAATAACCAACGATCTTTTTTAAATACAAAAAAATGTAAACAAGATAAAATTTTATAAAAAATTGTAATTTTACAATGTAAAAAAATAAATGGGGGAAGGGAATATGATATTTTGAGGTATCAAAAATCTTCAAAGCATAAATCAGTACAGGGCATTCTATCAACATCTATTTCAAAACAAAAATATTCTTCAAAAATAAGAAATAATATAGATGCAACTACAGTTGCGGAAATGGTAAATACCTATCATGCAGTACAACATTCAGAGAGTTACTCAACATCTCAATGTTGGTAGAATCTTTCCCCATAATATTTAACGACTAATATAAATGAATAGAATATTTTGTAGAACACAAAATGAGCAAGGCTATCAACAATGTTTTAGGATATAAATCCAGAAGGTCAATTCTTGACGATTTGAAAGATGTGCAAACATATGCAATTCTAACAGATGCATCTAATAAGGAGATATCAAAACATTTCCCTTGATCCTCCCCTATTTCAACAAAATTAATGTCATTTTAATAAAACTATTAAAAAATTTTTCTCCAGATATGAAATATCCAAAGACATAGCTAACCATATATAATGGTAAATATGGCAGATTTGGCATTACCAATGAATTGCATGGTAGCTTTCTGATCTGATAATTCCTCAGTAAATTTGGCAAAAACCAGAGTGTATTTACAGAATTGAGTCAGCATAATGTTGGTTGACAGGTTCCTCCTAATACGCGCCATCTAAGAATTTTAAAATACAAACCTTTAAAAAATAAATAGATTATAAAAGCTGTCCTATTTGAAAATAATTTTCAAAAATAAATGGCAGAAGTATATTTAGGAATTTTACATATAGGAAATCTACTATATGCTGTTAATATGCAGTTGCAATCAGAAGAATATAATTTAATAAAGGCTCACTAAATTATGCTGCAGAAATACCAAAGTAAGAATATTACTATTATCGGATAATTATTAATAAGATTTAATATGATGTCATGTTTGAGGAGATTGTAATGCTTCTTTATTTTTATGATTTGCCAAAATATTCAAAATATTAATTTTACAATGTAAAAAATAAATTTATTTGATTTTATGCAAATGTATAAATAAGATTTTATAAAATATAGAAAGTCAAATAGTTATAGTTAATTATATTTTATATGAGATTTAAATAATGGAACTAAACGTTTTTCCGTCGTTATTAAGATATTAAAAATCCTGGCATGACATTTTATAATTTTGTTTAACCATTAACTCGGCCTCTTAGGATATCTTAAGCTTAGATTAAAGATGATTAGGATAATAATATTTTCTAAGATGAGTTCCACCTTCATTGCTAATTTTTAAAAATATTACTTCTAATATTAATAATATATTTTTTAATATATAATAGTACATAAGCAGTTTATATTGAAAATAATTTTTCTTTTTATATATTTAATTATAACATTTTATTGTCCAAAAAACAACATCAGTATTGGAAACTAGTGCTTTAACCTCAAAACAATCTAAATCTCACCTAGAAGATAACTATCATGGTATATATAAATAAAAATATTAAAAAAGCACTAGTTTCACATACTATTCTAACTTCAAATTTTGAAAATGTCGAATGGATTGGATTGGATGGAGAATTTAAAATTAGCGGAAAAATAAAATAAAAGAACTAGACATATTTTTCGAATAAATATTTAAAATTTATTTTAAAAATATAAAAATAATCAAATAATGTCTCTCAAAATTATTATTTATATATTAAAAACATTAAAATGCTAAAAAAAAAATTGTGGGAGAAATTAAAAAATTGTGGGAGATTTTTGTGGGAGATTTCTAATTGTGGGAGTTTTGTGGGAGTGAGATGTATGTGGGTAAACTAAAAAATTGTGGGAGACTCCCACTGATGGGGGGAGGCATGGCAACCCTGGCCGGGTAGGGTCGGGCCGTATAAATTTTTTTATATATCAAAATTATGTTGAGTTTTTTATGTAAAATAAAAATATTTGATTTTATTTATAAAAACTAGACGTCATATAACATATATCGTTTATTTTGAGTAATTATAAAAATTAATTATTTAAATAAATTCGGGCAGAGCCTGTAAATTTTTTTTAAAAAAAATTTGGGATGGGCCAGGCTTGAAAAAATAGGCCCAATGCAGATCACTAATAAGAAGTATATAAATATAAAAGTTATATAATATTACTTTGGTATCACAAATAGAAATTGCAATAAAAAATTTTTAAACATATTATCTTTAAGTGCAATAATTTGGATCAGTGCTATAAAGATCTAGCATCATCCGATGTTAGATCTATTGTATTTGGACACTTTTTCTTATGACACATTGAATAATTACAAATTGATGTTGAACAATTATAAGAATAGGAATGTATAAAATATGAAATATATTTTTTTTTAAATTTATGTGCCAGTGTGATTTTTATAAACAGTGGTGTTTTGGCATGATCAAAAATATCGGCAGGTGATCAGAGTTTGGCCAATATGCAGGTCTAGGTAATATTGGAATTTGCAATGGAAGAAAAAACTGGAATTGTAAATCTCTGCTCAAAAAGCAATTTTTCTTAATCATGCAATGTACATGTCTGCTCAAATTTTTTAAAATTTAGGTCTGAGTCAGTCTACCCCAAATTTGAAGTAGGCTACTCAGAACTCTACTTTGTACGATGTTCAATTTAGAAATAAACATAGTAAATATAAATATTACTTTTCTTGCCCTTTTAATAATGTAGGATCTTTTTCTTTTGGATTTTTATCATTTACTTTTAATTTTTTAGGTTTAAGTTTAGGATCATATTCACCCTTTAAAGTAAATTTAGCTCTTTCAACTTTAACAATTTTATCTTTCATTAAAAAACCATCTAGAATTTGTAAAGCTAATTGAACAGATTCAACCTAAATTAATTTTTCAAAGGATAAAATAAATTTTCAAATAACTTTTAAATAGCAACATCTTCCATCACCTTTGAAATTTCCCTGAGAATCAGTATATAATTTAACTTTAGGTTTTCTTGTAATTGGATCTTCCATAATAATACCACATTTTGACATAAAAGTTATATATTCTTCTAAGGTAATATTTTCAGGCAAATTTGAAACATAAACATTTGTATTTTTATCTTCATCCATTTCAAACCATTCTGTTTTATATTTATAAATTAAACAAAACATAAAAATATCTTACCGGCTGGCTTCTGTATTTTGGGTGCACCTTTTTCTAACATAGTTAACTTTCTTTTCTTATTAAATTTAATATTATTATTAATGTTTATATCTTGAGATAACTCTTTAAGATCTTGTAAATTATGAGTACTATCATCGTCATTTTTAGGCAGTATCCATTGTTCCTTTGATTGATCCCATTCATATAAATATTTACCTGTGGTTGGATCTTTATACATGTAGCATCTTTTGCTGAAATTGAACTCAACATTAGGATCTGACAATTTAGAATCATTTTCAACTGCTTTTATATTATTGTTATTATTGGTTATTTCATTTTTTTTATTGTCTACAGTTATATTTTCTGAGGAATATAAAACAGGTACATTAGTATCTTGATAATACCATTGCTTTGTTTCCTCTTTCCAATATAATTTACGTTTAGAATTAGGATCAATATATGTATATTGACCCCTATCATTCTGAGAAACCCCATAACTTGCCTGATACATGGCAATAAAGTCATCTGTTACCTGTTTATTTTTAACATTCATTTATTAGTTGTATAACTATATACTTTGGGGACATATGCTTTTTGTTTTTCATCCCATTCATATTCTGTCCCATCCTTATCAGTATATTTTTTGACCTCTTCATTTGTGGTATTTAGATTAAGCTTACCTTCCCTCTCTAACTGGTGTAATCTGATTTGTTCTTCGAAATCCGCATCATCATCTGTGTCAGACATTTTAAAATTAATTACCGATTAATGAAAAGTGGAATTAATGAAAATCAATACTTAACACATAGACTTGTATATATATAATATAAAGTCAATTAATAAGGTACCTATATCCCCAAAGTATGTGAAGCAGAGCACCTTCTAAACCCCCTTAATTTCATGCCCAGCTGAAAGATATAATGAAAAATTGTTTTTATTAATAATTTTGAATAGAATATAACTAAATTTTAATTTATTTAAACATTTTTTGAAGAGATTCTGAAGAAAATTATATTTTTTAAATAATAAGGTTAAATATAAGAGCAAGCAAATTGATACATTTTTTAAGGTGGGTCAAAATTCAGACAAATAAATAAGGGGATTAAGAATTAGAGCTTAACGACAGTACATATGATGTTAAAATGCGTACATGTTCCAGATTAATATCAAATATAACATGCGATATGGAACTTACCAAATTTAATACGATCAATATAACCATTGTTTATTATAACATTTATAAAAAATAGTAACTTCCAAAAAGCTTATGGTCTAGTTTGTTTCGTGCATTTATCTTTTCGATAATTCTGGGCTCGAATCTAGCAAAAACCATATTCTTTTCTGAAATCAACTAGTTAGTCTCTTTCTTTTGGAGATTATATGTAATATTAGAATCGAGCGAATTTCGTTTCTTGAAAAAAAAATGTGTCTTATAGCCAGGAAGCCAAACCTAACTATTAAACCGCTAAAAACCTGTATTTTTTATCAAACCTAAACCGAACCTGAACCGCTAAAAAATTTCTAGCCGAACCTGAACCGAACCGCTAAATTCCCCTGAACCGGTTCAAGTCTCATATTTTATGTTTATAAAAAAATGTGTAAGTTATTACTAGTATATTTAAATTTTTTTAATTATATTCGAATTGTTTTAAAGATTATTATCAATCACATTTGATTGATAAGTGTAAGTCATATTTTTTATAAACTTTAGTATATTGCCATTTTACAAGATTTTTTAAATATTTTAAGCTTATAAATTATAATGCCTAGAGAAAAATTAAATCCAATATATAAATTATTTACATAGTGTATTATAAATGACATATCAAATCTGATATAATACTGTTAGTGCCGGCTACCCAAATTAGTGTGGAAAGATGTTTTCCAACAATTAAATCTATTGTATCTTCTTATAGATGTAATATGAGTGAGACGAATTTTGAAAATATATTAATTGTACGGCTTAATAAAAAAATATATAAATAATTGCTCACATTAAAATTAATCATTGATATTTATTTGTTATATTTATAAATTAAATATTATTTTTTAATGTGCAATAAATAAAAATGAAGGTTTATGTATGTGTTTTGTATTTTATTATAAAATAAAAAAAAATTCTTCCTTATAAATAATTCGAATGTAGGTTTTAATATAAAAGTGTTCAAACCGGTTTTTAGATGTTCAAACCCAACCAATATTTTTATTTTTTGCGAACCGAACCTGAATCTTGAACCGTTATTTTTATCCGAACCTGAACCGAACCGATATTTGTTACTGTTTGGATCCCTGTTATAGCATTTTTGAAAAATTTAATTTTTGTCCAGCACATATGGTTATTGTTTAGTAAAATAAATAACTATCAGGTGACGCGATATTCAACATTTACTATATTTTAATTATTTTTTTGAGCTTTACCCACCCTTAAAATGGTATATATATATATATAATATAAAAAATAATATTAGAAATATTTTGAAAAAAAGAAATGAAAAGGGAATGACAAAATTGTAAGAAAATAGATTAAATGTTTTTCCTTATAATTAAATTAATCATTTCGATAAATTAATGAAAGAGAGAAAGTGCAACCGCATTTATAACATTATTCCAATTTTGTTAAAGGGTTCTTTCTTAAAAGAAAGTATTTTAGATTTAAGAAACTATTTAAATTACTTCTTTTTTAAATCAAATTTATTACTATTTTTCTATATCTAAAAACATAGTATATATATAAAAAAAAGTTAATTGAACATATTAAATAATCAACTTAAATAGTTAATATATAAAATAAACAATATTCAAATTTATTTAATCAATCAACATTCCCCCTCTTCTACAAAGAACTAATCTTCTTCTCAGCAGTAATCGAGAGCTTGTTGTCCCAGAAGTTTTTTTCCGTTTCGATTGTACTCGGTTTTATCTTGGTTAGCACATAAGTCTCAAATGTTCTCGTAAGCTTGATTCTATCACGTAGGTTTGATAAAATCGTTTATTAGAGTTGCGTGAGTTTGTACGTTTTTTGTAGGCTTGATATCCATATCGTATGTTGTTCACATTTCTCAAAATTGTTATTATCATTTTTCATAATTAATCCAGTCGAATATTGGAATTTGGAATAAATCGGAATATGTAATTTGGAATAGTTGATCAAATGTATGAATAATATGCACAAATAAAATTTTGAATTTCGGAACAATAATAAGGAATGATAATTTATGGAATAAGGAATAAAATTTTAATCCAGAATAAGGAATGATAAATTATTATATTATTTTTTAGGTGTTAAGTTAATCATAGCGTTTTATACTTTTAGCGTTTTATGCGTTTTATATTTTTAGCGTTTTATATTTTTTGCGTTTTACATTTTTTAGCGTTTCCATATTTAATTAGTAGCGTTTTAATACTTTTTATTTTTATTTATTTTCAATCTCCGAGGTTAAAATATGCAAATATTATGCACATTTCCCTCTCTTAAAAAAAAATTTAAATTTCACACAATATTTTTCTAAAATAATGATGTTTAAATTTTACATAACCTTTTGTCTTCAAAAGCTTTATTTCAAAAACATTTTTATCATATTAAGTATTACTTATAAAGGTTATTTAAATCAATCCCTTTTAATTCATATGTTTTAATTACACTTTAATATCATTGGTCTCACAAAATAGAATTCATAACCTATCGTTCAACTTCCATATCAGTTCTTCCTAGGTTGTCACATTAGGTTAGGTGCTGGTTATCATATTCCAGTCCAACATCCAGAGCCGGGACACCATGAAGAAAGAAGCTTTTTGCATGAAAGAACGTGCTAACATCTCCATAGATTAGGCATTGGTCATATCAATAGATTAGGCAGTCACAATAAATAAGGTAGTCATAATAGATAGTCATCTCCATAGGTTAAGCAGTCTCCATAGGTTAGATAGTCATCTCAGTAGATTAGGTAGTCACAATAGATAAGGTAGTCATAATAGGTAGTCATCTCCATAGGTTAAGCAGTCTCCGGTTACGCAGTCTCCATAGGTTACGCAGTCTCCATAGGTTACGCAGTCTCCATAGGTTACGCAGTCTCCATAGGTTAGATAGTCATCTCAGTAGGTAGTCATATAAATAGAGTCATCTCAATGGATTAAGCTAAATCGTCCACAATAGGTAGTCATATAAATAGAGTCATCTCAATGGATTAAGCAATCGTCACAATAGGTAGTCAAATCAATAAATAAGGTAGTCATCAATTTCAAATTTAATTTAATTTATACTTTTTTATTTTAATTTTAGGCAAATTTTCTATATTTTATTCTTTTTTTTTTTTACAAAAACGTAACAGGGCGCCATAAAAGAAACAAGAAGTTAACAAATATTTATTCTAAATAAAATTTTTTTACCTTTTATAATTTTGTAAATTTGAATAAAATTTTGACTATCGAAAAGAAAAGTCAAAAAAATTTTATTTGTCCTTATATCATCTCCAATATCGAACGACGAATTTGATAAGTAATTCGTTTACTTTTTATTTTTACTAAAGAATTCAAGGTAAGGATATTTTTTAATTTTTTTTTAAAACTTTTATCATTTAACTTTAATTTAAAACGAAAAACGTACCACCGTAACCGGGGCACCATAAATGAAAGTGTTTTGGATTTACGAAACTATTTAAATTACTTCTTTTTTAAATCAAATTTATTACTATTTTTCTATATCTAAAAACATAGTATATATATAAAAAAAAGTTAATTGAACATATTAAATAATCAACTTAAATAGTTAATATATAAAATAAACAATATTCAAATTTATTTAATCAATCAACATTTCTGATGATAAATTACAGAGTTTAGAAGTACCATTTGCATTGCGTGGCACGGATTTGAAATATAAATTTAAGTCCAACCCTGTTTTAATATTTTTTGCCCCAACACGGCCCTGTTTTAAAAAAAAATTCGATCTATAAAAGAAAATTTTCGGCCAGGGTATATAATTTTTTTTTCTACAGCCTTGGTGGATGTGGCCAGCATCTACATGACAGGATTTTCACTGGATGCAAACCCCCTTCAAAAACCTTTGCCTACACCCCTAAAAAATTTTGCCGCCTTCGGCGGCGTTGTCTGTCTATTATTATTCTCACCTTTTTAATATATTGATACTCTTTTCAGAGAATTTATCTAGGATAACTTAAATTAATCTATCTCTACTACCAACTATCGATATTTTGTAAATATAAAGAATTTATTTTGTAAATATAAGGAATTTATTTTGTAAATATAAAGAATTTATTTTTTAGATAAATTCAATTAAAACCTACATTATTTACAATGAATTAATTATTATGGCATTATGAGCTTGCTGAAATATCTAAATCTTTTAAATTACATTTAAAAGGATAGCAGAAAGATTTATTTGGAAAACAATGTGTATGATTGTTTGCAATATATAGATTTGGTCGATGAATTGTATTATATTAATTCTATAATAAAAGTATTAATTTTTACAGCAATTAATTTTGTCCTTTTTATCTCAAAATTTAATAGATATCCCCCCCCCCCCCCAAAAAAAAAAATTTTTTTTTAATCCTACCCCCATTAAAACAGTCTATTCCCAACCCCCCTCAAAAAATAGGATGCGAACTGTTCCTACCCCTCCCGCTCATGTAGACACTGGATGTGGCATCATACCATATGGATCATTTTTCAGCGAATATGATCCATATTTAATAACTTAATTTTTTATCTCCCCATTTGTTATAAAAGGAGTT